GACAGAGGTCTTTTCCCTTTTTCCCCTACTGTTTTCATTTCCTTCCAACTATTATGGGTTTCTGAGGCTCGCAAACCCATTGGAATTCCTTCTATTTATTCTGTAATTTCTGGTGCTTAGTTTTTTCTACAGCCTAAAAGAAATAAATCACGTAAATCAATTCTACAACTAGACCTATAAATCTGTTAGCTAAGGCAAACATTGACTACACGGAACCACAAAAACAGGCCGGTTACCGCACGATTCCCCCAAACGTGATGAAGCTGGGTCGCAGTGCAAAGCTAACAAACAACAACCCAACATTCCACAACGATTAGTCGGGTTCTTTTTTCTCAAACCTGCTCATATTTCCGTGTTTGGGACAAAAAGCACATGCAGTTGGGAGTTCGAGAATCAAAAAGTAGGAGCAACTCGTCCGAAAAAAAATTGCTGCTTTCCACAAAATCACACTTAATCAAATTCGAATAAAGGAATTAGGTAGGCAATCACATGAACGGACGGTCAATGCGTTGTTTAAACTAGCTGGGCTTTCTTTAGAATTTTATGAAAAATTTCAAGAATTTCGGAGCATCCGTTCAGGCATATCATCGCTGTAGCAAACATACATAGGTAAGTCCAACAGGGCCACATACTTCATTGGTTCGGACCAGTTGTAACTGAAATTTCCCCTGGGGCTGTACATGGAGATCGGGTGCGTGGCGCACCCCAGAAAAATCATCACTCAACGTGAAAGTTCTTTCTATAAGCAGAGATTCACCTGTCCATTCAGAAAACCACACTGTCCCTTTCGAAATGATAGTAAGCTGACAGAAAATAATTACCGACATAGCTTCACAACTAGGTTAGTCGAGAGATTGGGTTCATAATTTTAGGTTCTTTTCATCATTATGACAGTACTAGATATATCCCCAATGAGGTAGTGGTACTTTTTGATACAATTACTTTAAAAATGAAATCTCACCATGAAAGCATTGTTGGGAATGACGGAGATCGGTGTCTCACCGATACCAAGTGTTCTCAATTGGTTGATGTAGCGGAACATTTCCGGTGCCCATGATGGAAATTTGTTACCAGTAAGATAGAGATACTGAAGATTGGGAACACCCTGAAAATTTTCAATCAGTAATTTTTGGTCATATAACAAATACAATAGTTTGGGTAGTCACAAGCGGCATTGCTAGTAAATACATGGTTTAGAAGAGATTAGTCATTCTGTCCTAAACTAAGGCTTAGTTCTTCCTCATCTTTCAGAACCCAAGGCCGTCTGCAGACAGAAAAACACAGAATTTCACATCACTGGCTCTAACTAAGATTCACTGCATAAAGCAACACTTAAATAAATCATTACGAATCTGAGTGGAACTCAAACGCATGGCCCATTCCATCCTTACGCGCATATCAAAGTTTTTCAAGGAATACTTGCCCGGAGCTTTTCCCGAACAAACTGTTAAATTTCCACATCACAAATCAATAAAGATTGCTGTAGAAGCCAACCAACAGGAGGTACTTAAGGTTCGCATTTCTATCCAACATTAATTTTTCTTTTCTCAATCTCTTCAGAAAAGTAGAAAAATTAGTACTGACCTGAAAGGCCTGCGGCGGTATCACAGTGATTCCATTGAATTCGAGCGAAAGTGACGTGAGGTTGGGAAAGTCCAAAGCGCCGACTGGTACCTGAACATATGGGTTTGATTTGCAAGAAAGAAGAAATCCTCATTGAAAACGAATCATCAATACCTCGTTGATGTTGTTTAGACCGAGGTTGAGATTCGTCAGGGTGCCACGCTGATTCACGAGGGCCGCCGATGGAATCGCAGTCAACGCATTCGTCTCGAGGGAAAGCTCCTGAAAGAACCGTCTTTCAAAATTAACCACTTCTTTCATCAAGTAAGTGGGGGGGGGAGGCGAAGAATTGCAAAGTCTATGTCATCTTAACGCTACTTTGAACTTACCTGGAAAACGTAACTAAATTTTTTCAGGGATTATTGATTTTTTGTTATTGAATATGATTCCTTTCCTACAAAATCACATAATTTGAAAAACGTGTGAAGTCATATGTAGGCTAAATTAGCCAGCGGCTTGAGGCAGCTCAGTGCTATGGGATCGATTTCTGTACTCTCTCGATAGACCTGTTGTCGCGAATTTATATTTTTAATCAGTTCTTTTATGCCATATTTGTCCGGGATAGCCAATTGACTGATGCAAA